TCAGCTCAAGGCTAGCACTCTACCACTTGAGCCACAGTGCCACTTCCAGCTTTTTTCTTTTTGCTTATGTGGTGCTGAGGAATTGAACCCAGGGCCCGGGCATGCAAGGCAAGCGCTCTACCACTGAGCCACCTTCCTAGCCCTGGTTTGGTTGTTTTTTTTTTAAGTGTATTTTTTTGTCTTTTCTTTCTTTCTTTTTTTTTTTTGTTTGGTACTAGGGATCAAACCCAGGACGTTGCACTTGCTAGGCAAGTGCTTTGCCACTGAGCTACGTCCCAGTCCTGGTTTGAGATTTGACAGGGTTATCTTATAAACTCTTTGCCCCAAGCTGACCTTGATCCATGATCTTCCACATCTCTGCTTAAGAATGCAGGTATGAGCCACTGTTGCTGACCAAGAAGCTTTGATCTTTACAATGATTGATTTGAGAAGGGGTTTGAGTTTACTGTTTGTAGCACATTCCAAAAATAATGATTGATCGCTAAGGCCAGAGGATTGTTAGTTCAGGGCTAGCCTAGGCTACATAGTGAAAAGAAGATAAGGGAAAGGCAATTTAAAAAATGATTATTGAATAAGTAGGCACTTACAGAGGTTAGTGTAAACTCTCATTACGGGAATTATGTGAAGACTTTTAGAATGGTTCTGCTTAATTTTTACAGAATCCAGAAGATAAAACAATATGATGCTAATTTTAAAACAAAGGACTTCCCTGAAAAAGCTAAGGATATCTTTATTGAAGCTCACCTTTGTCTAAACAAGTAAGTGAATTCCCTACGTATTACATGTTCATTTGTTTCTGGTGGTACTAGGGCTTGAACTTGAAGCCTTGTGCAAGTTAGACGGATGCTCTACCACTTAGGCATGCCCCCTTGTCCTTCCATGCTTTTGCCTCTTTTTTTTTTTTTTTTTTTGGAGTTGGATCTCAGGTCTTTGCTGGGACTGGCCTGGTCTTCAATCCTATTTACACTTTCCATGTAAATCCTTAGCTGAGATAACTGGCCACCACACCCAGCTATTGATTGAGTTGGGCTCTCATTAACTTTTGTGCCTGGGCTAGCCTCAAACTTTGATCCTCCAGATCTCTACCTCCCCTGTAGTAGGGATTACAAGTGTGAGCCTGTAATTTTTTGTTTAAATTTTTTTCTTTAGAGTTGGTGGTATAGAAATAGTAGAGCACTACTAGCTTACCATGGGGGCAAGCCTCTGGGTTCAAACCCCAGCACCATTAAAAAAAAAATTTAATTGTGAAGTATTTGAAACAAAAAATGTACTTATGAAAGACAAAGCAAAATATAGACATCCAAAATTTTGAATTCAGGAAATACCTGGATTTTATTTTTACCTTATGGATTAGTATTTTATTTTTTTTTGTTAGTTGTGGGGCTGGAACTGTGGGCTTGGGCGCTGTCCCTCAGCTCTTTAGCTCAAGGCTAGAACTCTACCACTTGAGCCACAGCGCCACTCCGGCTTTTTCCGTTTATGTGCTGCTGAGGAATTGAACCCAGGGCATCATGCATACAAGGCAAGTGCTCTACCACTGAGCCACCTTCCCAGCCCAAGGATTAATATTTTATACATAGCTTTCAGAAACATTTTTGTAGTTTTCTCAAAAAAAATTTTTTTGAAATGCAAGGAAGGACATAATTCATGTAACTTTCTTTTAAATAAGCTGGGTGTTCAAGCATGTAGTCCCAGCCATTCTAGAAGAAGGAGGATCTCTTGAGTCCTTGAGTCTAAGAGTTCTGATCAGGTATCCACACTAAATTTGGCACCAATAAGGTATTCTCCCAGGAGCAGGATGTCCTGAGGAGGGGCAAATTGGCCCAGGATGTTAATGGAGCAGGTCAGAACTCCCAAGATGATCAGTTAGTGTTGTGTCTGAATAGCATTGTGTTTCAGACTGGCCAGCACAGGGAGAGACCCTGTGTTTTTATCATATGAGCACATCTATAAGTGATGTTCTAGCCAAGCACCAGTGGCTCATGCCTGTAATCTTAGCTACTTAGGAGGCTGAGATCTGAGAATTGTGGTTCAAAGCAACTCTGAGCAAGAAAGTCTAAGAGACTCAAATCTCTATTTAACCACCAGAAAACCAGAAGTGGTGCTGTGGTTCAAAGTGGTAGAGTACTGGCCTTGAGCGAAAAGCACCCAGGCCCTGAGTTCAAGCCCATGACTAAAAAAAAAGTGATATTCTTACTATTTTATGTGTTTAAAAAATTTATGAGCTGGGTGCTGGTGGCTTGTGCCTATAATCCTAATTACTCAGGAGGCTGGGATCTGATGATCACAGTTCGCAGCCAGCTCAGGCAGGAAAGTCCTTGAGACTCTTATCTCTAATAAACTACTCAGAAAAATCTGATTGTGGCACTGTGGCTCAAGTGGTCGAGTACTAGCCTTGAGCACAAAGAGGCTAAGGGATAGCACCCAGGCCCTGGGTTCAAGCCCCAGGGCCGGGGAAAAAAATGTAGGTGATATATTGAACATACTCTTTTTTCTTTTTTTTTTTTGGGGGGGGGCGGTCCCGTCGTGGGGCTTGAACTCTGGGCCTGGGTGCTGTCCCTCAGATCTTCAGCTCCAGGCTAGTGCTCTATCACTTGAGCCACAATGCCACTTCCGGC